GCTTTTACTTTTTGATCCTTAGAGAGTTGAGTAAATATTACTTTTGTTTTAATATTTATTTTCTTAGGGCAGTAATCTTTAGGCGTGTGGTGAAAATCGTGCTTGTTATGACTCAGAAAATGTTATTTTATAATTGAGATCAGAACCTGATTTAAGGCACGTGTTAAGAAATACAACAAATTTTATCTGAAAAATACCTGATAAAACTGTATGGTGCAGCATATTATCACCTCATGAGCACATCACCTGGTACAGCAGGCTTAGTATAAGCTATATGCAAAAGTGTATTGGAGACACCTGTATTAAATTGCAATTGCAATAGACCTCAGGCACAGAAAAGACCTCAGGACAGAACATGTAGGTGAAGGGATTAATGAGCTTATCGAGAAGGCAAATTTGCTGGAGATCAGCAGGATATATTCAATGTCAATATTCAGTTTCAGAATGTAATAGGGAATTCTCCACAGGCTTGATCTCTGAGGTAGATACTGTGCTGAATGACAGACTAAATGCTGACAGTTAATGTGCAGAGTTTAGCATCTATTTTACATTTGAAACTATTTATAATATGCTTGCTTGGACTTTATAATAGGATTGCCTAAAAAAAGTTGAGTGAAGAAATACAACCAAGAAGAGATAATCCTCAGTGCTTTGCAAACATAACAAATAGAAGTAAAACTGTCCTCTGATTTGATTGTGACCACCATTCAGTATCTGTGAAACTAAACCAGTGCATTGTCCACAAATAATAATAATAATCCTTGCATTTGATATGGCATTATATCATGTCTTCCAGATGTCTCAAAGCGCTTCACAGAATATACTGTAAAGTGAACTATATATTTTGTGTATAAGATGATAGATAACAATGCTAATTTGTGCTGTGCTTACCTTTGACATAGGGAGAACTTCTCAAGACACTTCACAAAGATGGAATGGGGCCAAAACAAGAATATAGATAGTAGGGGGGAGTTAACTATGCTGTTGTCTAGGAAACATAACATAACATGTAGGAGCAGGAGTAGACCATTCGGCCCTTCGAGCCTGCCCCGCCATTCAATCATGGCTGATTTTCTAATCTACCTCCAGCTAATAACCTGACCCTGCCTTATCCCCATATCCCTTAATCCCTTTTGCAATAAGAAATCTATCTATCTGTCTTGAATATGTTCAAGGACTGAGCATGAACAGCCCTTTGGGGTAGCAAGTTCCATACATTCACCACACTTTGAGTGAAGAAGTTCCTCCTCAACTCAGTGCGAAAGTGCTGGCCTCTGATTTTAAGGTTGTGACCCCGATTGGAGAAACTAACAATCTCCCACTATCTACTGTATCATGTCCTTTGATGATCTTATAGGTTTCTATAAGATCCCCTCTAATTCTTCTATATTCTAGAGAATTGGTCAGCCTATCCTCGTAACTCATCCCCTTCATCCCGGGTACTAACCTAGTAAATCTACGCTGCACCCCCTCTAAGACAAGTACATCCTTCCTTAAATAAGGATCTATTTAGATGAGTTTTGAAAGCAGAGAGGGAGGGAGCAAGGTGGACAGGCTTCAGAAGAAAGAATGGGAGTAAGGTGGTCATGGTTGAAGCAGAAAGCATCCGTACATTTCAGAGGAAACTCAATGTACGCATGGAGAAAAATGGAATAGACTGGTATGGGGGTGGGGGTGGCAATTAGAATTGGTGAAGGCTCATAATAATAATAATAATAATAATCCTTGCATTTGATATAGCGCTTTTCATGTCAGGAGGACATCCCAAAACGCTTCACAGAACACACTGTAAAGTGAATTGACTGTATATTCGTGGGCGAACGCGGCAGCCAATTGCGCACAGCAATGTCCCACAAACAGTCGTAGATTGAAAATGACCAATTTATTATTGTTTTTGGTTTCGGAGGGATTATTATTAGGCTCTGTGTGGAGCAAGGAAACTTGCCCAAGGTTTCGCCCTGTGCCTGGAATTGAACTCAGGTCGCTCTAACCACTGAGCTACAGGACTCCACATGTGGAGTATAACTGCACAGAATAGCTGGGCCCCGTGGCTTGTTTCAGTACTTTAGTTTCTTTGTAATTCTATATATTTCTATATATCTGACATACTAGAGATGCTGTGGTAGCATTCTTGCTTCTGGTTTGGAAGATTGGGAATTCAAGCCCACTTGACTTGAATTCATTATCTTAAGCTAACTCAGTGTAGAGCTGGCTCCTGCCTGGCTGTCTGACATAAGCCCACAAAACATACTTTACAGTATATCCTTTGAACCACTTTGGGACATCAGATGCTATACCAAGTATAACGATTATTAAAAGAACCACTGAATGATTGCGTTTTGTGGTAAATATGTCAAACAGAGCATTTATAATAAACATTGCCATATTTTACTTTTGATGAAACATTTAGATTGTGAAAGCTGCACCCAGAATATGTAGGATTTTTACCAAATATAGTACAGACATGATGGGTTATATCTGCACAGAAATTTCTCTCATTCCATGATAGATAATAGGCACCTCTTAGGAAAACCCATGGAGAAGTGCAATCCAGTCATTTTTGTTAAGCAAAGAGAAAGGAATATATGCTATGGCTAATTGATAGTGATTCTGAACTGATGATTTTTATCGACATCTAGTGATTTTATGATAATGATTTAACATGGCAGCTGCAATCCTTCAATTCTGCTCCTGATCCCTGACTGTTCAGCGCCTTGGGATGACCTCCCCACGTGAAAGTCATTTTACAAATGTAATTTTGTTGTTTTTAAAAACTTTTTTTAATAAACTATGCACGTTTACACAACCAAGGACGTGTGAAAGCTCAGAATGGAGAAAAGTGTAAATGGAAAGTTACCAATTAATTCTCTCTTCGCAGTCCATCTGAAACTTATTTGATTCTGTTTTGAACCTCACCTGTACTCTATGTCCTGGGAAAAAGTTCCCTGACGTGTGAAGTCCAACACATGTTTTTCTCAAATGCTAGCTTTTCATTTTGTGCTAAGAAACTGGGATTGGTAGGTGGTTGGAATTCTCTGCCACAAACAATATTTGAAGCAGAGGCCATAAAATCTTTACACATTAAATAAGATAGAAATTTATACACCAACCTAAGATTATTGACTGCTCTTGATCTCATTTTTGCTTAGTATGATAATATTAGATACACTGGTGGTAATATCACTTTCTACAATTATGAACCCTGTGAATTTAGACTGAGATTTCCCATTATAAGCACAGAACAAAATACAGGGTGAACCTATGCTGATCACCAATGTATGATGGACCTTAATGTTTACTAACATTAACAGTAACAAAAAGTATATGTTAGAAACCCCATTCCCCAAAGATCCGCAGAGTATCTCAAACAAAACATCCAGAAAAATCATCTATCCCCACATCTCCACTCGTTGATGCAGAGTAAACAATATCATCCACTAGAGTGAAAAAAATTAATGTTTTGTAACAGATAAAATAAAAAATTATAACATTGCACCTGCGATTATTTGCATTTTTGAATTATAATATTGCTTCTGTTATGAAATTTGGCATTTTTCACCCTATATCTTTGCAGGATAAGATCAATGCTGATAGGGAATGAATAAACTGAATGCTCTGAATCTTGCTGGGGTATTGCTTTGTAAGTACTGATCCAGGTAGTCATTTCTCATCCCTGAGCTACTTTAATAATCCTTGCCTTTTTTTTATATGTCTTCGAGACATTTCAGAATATACTGTAAAGTGAATTGACTGTACATTTTGTGGGTGAAAAGCGGCAGCCAATTGCGCACAGCAGTGTCCCACAAACAGTCGTGGATTGAGTGACCAAATTATTAATTTTTTTAAAAAAATCTTTTTTTTTGAAGGAATTATTATCTCTGGAAAAACGATCCGCCAATTGACTAACAACTGGGATCCTACATCTAGGGAAATAGAGGCGTATGGAAGAAGGAAACTTGCCTAATGTTTCACCCTACCCGGGAATCGAACCAGGTTCTCTCGCTTGTGAGGCAAGTGCTCGAACCACTATGATGGAGTCCTGTAGCTCAGTGGTTAGAGCACTCGCTTTGCAAGTGAGAGACCTGAGTTCAATTCCAGGCACAGGGCGAAGCCTTGGGTAAGTTTCCTTACTCCACACAGAGCCTAATAATAATCCCTCCAAAACCAAAAACAATAATAAATTGGTCATTTTCAATCTACGACTGTTTGTGGGACATTGCTGTGCGCAATTGGCTGCCGCGTTCGCCCACAAATATACAGTCAATTCACTTTACAGTGTGTTCTGTGAAGCGCTTTGGGACGTCCTCCCGACGTGAAAAGCGCTATATCAAATGCAAGGATTATTATTACTATTATTATTATCACAATTGAGCAGAAATCTATTCATTCTTGACTTCTATATACATGCAATTTCCAGCAGAAGTCACAGGATAGCAATGAGAAACAGAAACCAGGGCTGCTTTCTCCCTCTCTAATCTTGGAATGCTTCCAGGATGAGATCAGAAAAGGTAGCACAGATTAAGGGTTCAGTTGGAACCTTCCAGGACTGTACTGTAATGCTCAGTATTATGCCAAGCAGTGCATTTATCAACCAACCCATCAGATGAACTGGTAATCAGCATCTATTATAGTAATGGTTAATAAACAAGTGAACTGACTCCACTGCTGAGCTAGTTGATTGCAACTAAGATACAATTCTTGCAGGACAAGCTTTGAAGTTCTGAAGTAGTTCAACTTTACAAAAACACTTAGAAATAATTCAGTAATATAAATTTAGACAGTATAATATTTTAAATGAACAATGTACAATTTAAAAATAGACTTCCCATTAACCTTGTAGAAATCAATGGGAGTGAACGCTTCACATTTATCTATTTGACATCCTATTCCTCAGTTCAAACAAGGTTTAACTACTAACTTTCCTAATCATCTAGTGCCTTGAATAAATTATGTTCTCTCGAAGACATATGAAGAAAATGACATGCAAAATAAAGCATTACCTGATATGAGCCAAACTAACAGGACAATGACCTGTGTGAGGTGTTATAATATAACAACTGTCTTCAGACAAGGACAAGCTGCCAATGTGTCCACTGCATTCATTAGATACTCAGAAGACGGAGACTATAAATACTACATATATACTATTTCCCCTTGTCTCAAGAGATAAGAAACACGCTCTCCAGAAAAGATTCGTACCTTTTAAGGTAGTGTTTCCCCTACATTGCCCATAAGCTGAGCACTTTTTATCTCCACATCGGTGTGCTGTTCAGCAGCAGTGTGAGTAACATACACAGTGCAGCATGGGCAAATAGCACTCAGAATCCAATTCTGTTTTGTGTGCTGTCAATGAGCTCAGGTTGCTGTGCATCTGTAGGGTGAAAATTGGATTTAATTTAATTTACATGTTGTAGCCAGTGCTTAGTTTTCCATGTTGCACTGAAGCAAAAGATCTTCCACTTAAAAATATCAGGATAAGAATTTGAAAGTATGTCAGAGCTAATTGTGATTTCTCAGGAAATCTTTACTTCAATATTACAAAAAGCACTAAAACCAACTGGGCAATTCTAAAGTAAAACAAAAATTATATACTATCTCATATCCTTCAATCCATTTCTTCATCAAATAGTAATAATAATCTTGCATTTAGAGTACATTTCACATTGAAAGGACATCGTAAAGCACTTCATACGATTTACTGGAACATGATTAGCACTCGCCTCACAAGCGAGAGGACCTGGGTTTGACTCCCAGGCAAGGCCAAATGTTGACAAGTTTCCTTACTTCTGTTGACGTCAGACAGGCAGTTGGTCAGGACGCCAGTAGTCCTGGAATTGAGGGTGGAGGCAGAGAGAGAGAGTTGGGTGTCATCCATATACATGTGGAAATTTACCCCATGTCTGCAGATGATGTCATCAAGGGGGAGCATGTAGAGGGGGGGGCCTGAGGACAGAACCCTGAGTAACACCGCACGAGGCTGGAGGAGAAGCTGTTCGCAGAGACAAAGTGGAGGCAATGTGAAAGGTAGGATCTGAACCATTCAAGGAGAGAACCTTGAAGGTTGAGGTGGGAGGAGAGGCGGTGGAGGAGGATTGAGTGGTCCACAGTATCAAAGGCGGTAGAGAGGATAAGGAGGCAGAGGGAGCCCTGGTCACAGATAGTCAGGATGTCATTTGTGATCTTGACCAGAGCAGTTTCTGTGCTGTGGGCAGCACGGAAACACGATTGGAGGGGCTCACGGAGTGAGTGGGAGGAAAGGAAAGAGCGAAGCTGGGAGGCGACAGCTCTCTCAAGGACCTTAGACAGAAAAGGGAGGTGGGAGGTGGATTGGTGGCTGAATAGCTGTGATGGGTCAAGGGAAGGTTTCTTCAAGGTGGGCGTGATAGTGGCTGTTTTGAGGGGGACAGGGACAGTGCCAGATGACAGGAGAGGTTGATAATGTCGATGAGTAGTGGGGCAAGGAGGTGGAGCTGGAATTTAAGGAGAGGGTTGGGGATGGGGTCTAGCTTCTTAATGATAAAGGATGCTAATACACATATCACTTAGATGAGAAAACAGTACCAAGAGTCAAAAGGTTCTGTTTCAGAAAGTGATCCTTAATTGCCAAATCCTGCCAAAACATAAAAGACATATTGCCTAACAAGGCAAATACATTTCTTTCAGCTGTTAGGGACCTCCCTGGCTCATGTCTTGTACCAGATGTTGGAGGAAAGGCTGGAAAGCTCATCTTCCTACGACTTGGAAAGGCCTCATCAATTAAGCAGAGGAGTAATGGTGTGAAGGAGAAATGAATGGTGCAAAGGGCATTTCACAATGCTCCATAGTTATAGAAGGCTCAGGAGTGAAATGGTCATTTAAAAAAGCAGGCTCTGCAATTTCTCTATTAATTAATGTTAGCGAAGTATGAACATGCATAAAAAGAGATGGACTATTTGGACTTATGTGCCAATGAATCGTTTGAGTGTCAGTTACTTGAACTTTACTGTTACTGGGATTAGCTACAGGAGACATGTTGGAAATCAGCCAGTTGGCCGTGGCATATTCCACTAAGGAGACAACAGACACGTTCTGTCAACAGGCCTCCTGGAAAATGCATCTCAGTGGGAACCAGCAGAAATGGCTGCAGAGGCAACAACTGTCCTACCATAAAGCTGGCTTCCCAGCAATACAAATGACTGTTCCTACATACCAGATTGTATTAAAATATGATTCTACCTACTATATACTCTACATTATAGTATATAGTAGGTAGAATCATAATACTATATATTATAACATATATAATATATAAATATATATATACCCGGCTCCGCCACTGTTTCACACCGCAGGCCTACGAAACCCTCATACATGCTTTCGTTACATCGAGGCTCGACTATGCAAACTCATTGCTTGTCGGCCTCCCCAACTCCTCCCTCCACAGGCTGCAGATCATCCAGCACTCTGCAGCCCATGTCCTCTCCCGCAGTAGGCTTCGCGACCCTACCACCCCCATCCTTGCCCAACTCCACTGGCTTCCCATCACACAGGGGATACAGTTCAAGATCCTGGTCCTCACCTTCAAAGCCCTCCTCTGTCTTGCTCCCCCCGACCTCTCTGACCTCCTAACTCCCTACCATCCTGTTTGCTCCCTCCACTCAGCAGGCTCCGGTCTGCTTCACGTCCCCCGCCTTGATCACCCCACTATCAGCGGGCAGGCTTTCCACTACTCTGCACCCACCCTCTGGAACTTCATCCCACAGTCCCTCCACCTTGCCTCTTCCCTCGCCACCTTCAAGACCCACCTCAAGACCTTCCTCTTTGACCATGCTTTTGATCTCCCTGCTGCCCTCCTTGACCTCCACCCTCCCCCACCCCTCCCCCCAGCTCGGGACTGTAACTCTGTCTGTCCAGCGCATTGGGACGTACTCCCGACGTGAAAGGCGCTATACAAATGTAATTTGTTGTTGTTGTATACCATATCTGAAACGGTGGGATATCCTATAGTTGAAATTGATGTAACATGTTATACAGCTGAAACCCACATGGGATATCCTTAATATAGAATCCTATTAGAAATATTGATCAAGAATAGAATTTTGCAGCAGAATTATTAAACAGAAATCTTTCAGTATTTTGTAGTATATCACAACAATAACTGTGATTTATATACGTATATACATGTATACATATGCGTATAAACAAAGACTATCATCATTGTGGAGGAGGTAAGCAGCATCCCTTTGGGGCTGAGTTGGCTCAAAGGTAACATTCCTGCAATGAAATATTGGAATTGAAATGATCCTATGTGGTGGTCTCAGTACTCCAGTTCCTGTGCAGACAGGTGCAGAGTGCTCTGAGGCACAGTTGATGATAGCCCGACTCATCAGCAGGACTTGGAGGAACAGACCATTCACAAAGAGGTAGGGATTCTTCCTACTTGGCTCTTGTTAACCCTGCAAGCCAAAGCTCTTATGAGTAGGATAGTCCTAGCTGGACAAGCAACAAAAGCTTGCCAGTCAGTGTTTGCAATGGCAAACTGTATGGATTTAGCTGGTTAAATTCTCTTCAACTGTGCCTTCATCTCCCCTCTCAACTCTCTACCCCCTCCTCGATCCCTCCCTTCCCTCCCCTCCCCCTGACCATTTCCCCGCTGCTCGGGTCCCGACCCAACTGTCCAGCGCCTTGGGACGTCCTCCCGACGTGAAAGGCGCTCTATAAATGCAATCTTGTTGTTGTCGTTGTAAATTCCAGCAGTATCCCATAGTACATTCTGTTATCCCCAATTAGTGAATGTTGAAAATCTGAAATAAACCCTGACAATGTTAGAAATCTTCAGTAGCGTAATCAATATCTGAAAGCATCTGACTCAAATATTAACACTTGTGATCAATAGCTTTATCAGAACTAAATGGAGTTCTACTGACAAGATCTACTTCAAACGTTAACTGAACCTTTCTCTACCAGATAATAATTAACTTCCTGTGTACATCCAGCATGTTGTGATTTAATTTCGGATTATAATAATAATCCTGGTATTTGAATAAAGTGCCTTTCATGACAACGACGACAACAACAACTTGCACTTATGTAGCGCCCTCCAGGCAGGATAGCGTCTCAGAGCGCTTAAGAGTGGCGGAGCCTGATTCCAAGCCAGAGCGGGGGAGGTGGCCGTAAGCACGGTCGAAGAGGAAGGTTTTCCGGCAGGACTTGTAAAAGGGGAGAGCGGGGGCAAGGCAGAGGGATTGACAGAGACTGTTCCAGAGTTCTGGGGCGTAGTGGCTAAAAGTGCGACCTTTGATGGTGGGGTGGAGGGTGCGAGGGACGAACAGGAGGCCGATGCCAGTCAAGCAGAGGTGCTGGTTGGTGGTTTGGGGTGTGAGGAGGTTGGAGAGGGAGGGAGGTGCCAGAAAGTGAAGGGATTTGAACACGATTGTGAGGATCTTGAAGTGGATCCATTCAGTGATGGGGAGCCAGTGGAGCTCGGCCAGAACTGGTGAGATATGGGTATATATTGAGTAATCCAGGCGGGAGATGACAAACACATGTATTTGGGGTAAGGTACGGTCAGAAACGGGCAATTTGGCGGAGGTGGAAGAAGGCACTTCTGGTCAGGGACTGAATGTGGGGAAGGAAGGACAGCTGGGGGTCAAACCAGACGCCTAGATTGTACACTGGTTCAGTGAGTCTGAGGGAGCGCCGAGGGAGGGTGAGGAGTTCAGATCCGCAAGATTGAAGACATTGACAGGAGCCGAGTATGGCTTCCACCTTGTTCTTCAACTGCAGGAAGTTTGCATTCATCCTGGCCCTGATGTCTGCCTGCCTGATGTCACGACAAGACGACGTCTCAAAGTGCTTCACAGAAATTTACTGTAATGTGTTCTTTTTTGGTCAGCTGGGTGTCTGATACATTCAGAAACCCATTACTTGCTTAAGAGTATCCAAACCAAACAGAGTTCCATGCATCCCACCTACACGTGGAAATTCCCGAAATATTTATTGGAATGGAATGCACATTCTCATCCTTGAGAAATGTATCTTGTTAAACTAATTCCAGAGTACTAGACACAGGTTGGTAAGAGTAAAGGCTTGGAGAGTCTAACCAACTAAAACTGCATC